AACCGAACATAGGTCGGCCCCTATCGGTTTTCGTACTAAACCTACTTTTCCACAATCTCGTGTCCACTCTAGTACTGATTACCTCTTCCGGAGGTTTAGTCCGATGCTCATATGGGGGTTTCCAAAAATAGGGTACCCTAATATAGTACCCTATATAATAGGTTCCTTATTATAAGGACCCCAAAATAAGGTATCCGATTTTTTCCGGAAACCCCATATTGATCAAGAAACCCACGGGGATTCTAGGGTTTTGGGGTTTCGGGGGTCTCTGGCGCATAGAAGATCCCCTCGCCGCATCGCAGTGCCTCAAGTCGAAATCTGCTGGGAAGCGATCGTTGGCACCAGGTAAAAGGAAGGACACTCCATGTCCACATGTTCGCCATTCCTGATGTGGGTCAAGTTCAAAGTCCCGATCCCATGTCGCGTGCATGATCGTCATGTCGCTAAGCTTTCTGCAGTGACCATGTGGACAACTGTTGTACATTAAAACCCTAAACCCTAAAACAAGTTTAGCTGATACACTTTGTCGGTGAAGAGAGTGCAGAGACTGGTCTCCTCGACGCGCTTCAGGTTCACCGCGTTTAGGGGTTCAGGGTATTTTTGGAGGGAGGCCGTGCGGGGGTGCTATAGGGGCTTTGATAAAATATTTAGGCCTCTAACGCTAAAACCTAAACCCAAAGCCCCTGAACCTTAAACCCTAAACCACTACATTACTTCCTGTGCCAAGAAAAGGTACTACGCACTAGTTCCCCAAACTTCGAACGGGTTCGCCGCCCACCGACTCCTTGAGTCCCTACTTCGGGTTTAGGGTTTATTGGGTTTTTAAGGGTTTAAGGGCTTAGGGCACAGGGTTTAGGGGTTTATAGGGCTTATAGGGTTTATGGGGTTTAGGGGTTTAGGGCTTTAGGGTTTAGGGTATAGGGTTCAGGGTGGCAATCCTAGCGCTGAGGTTCTCTCGATATCTTAAAGGACCCCTTCATACACCTGAATAATCAAATTAGACTGGGGTTTGGGGGCATAATGTAGGGTCCTGAATAATTACCTATACTATTTTGGGGGCTCCTTATCATAATTACAGTATAATGGGCCCCAGAACCCTATTCTAATCATAAAGGCCCCTATATTATGATACCACAGGTCTCAAGAAGGATCCCTCTGGATTTATACTATGACTAGTGATCCAAGCTGCTATCTTCATCCTTCTACACCCGAAAATCCCTGTGTACAGTACTCTTACCGAACCCTGCAATAACCCTAAACCCCCCAGAACCCTAACTACCAAAGTTACGAAATTCCCAGCGATTAGACGCTGAAGAGTCCACACACACACACACACACACACACGCACACAACCCCAAACAAATTCCCTGGCATGGTTCACTCTCCACCTCGCCGAGGAAGGTTTCCTTTGCTCCCTTCCTGGCGATGGCCGCGACCGAAGCTACCTGGCCAGCGCCGGGGTTCTTATGAAGGGTACAGGGTTTCGGCTTTAGGAGTTTCCTATATAAAGGGTTGAGGGTTTGGGGCTTTAGGGGTTTAGGGCTTAAGGCTCAGGTTTCCGAGGTTGAGTGTTTAGGTTTTCGGGTCTCGGTTTAAGGGCAAGGTTTGGGGTTTAGGATTATGGAATATGCTGCCTAGACCTAGGACCTGAGGATGTTCAGGCTACAGGGCTTACTATTCAGCGTGCAAACATCAGGATTCGCAACTTTACGCTTAAGGCCTAAGGGTCCAGTATTCCGGGTTGACCGCCTGGGTTCATCGTAAGCCTGCCGTCTTCGGGCTCTGGGATTTGGGGTTGATAAGGCTGAGCATCTGGGTGCTGTGCGGCGACTTTCCGGGAGTTGACTCTGGTATCTTTTTTGCAGCCATCCAGCATCGCCACAACAGATTCATAGTACTCGTCACCAGGATGGTGCTGAAACTCTCCCAAGCTAAACCCTAAACCCTAAA